CCAGGAAAAAAGTGTAGAAGAATAGCCAACAATAACTGATAACAAACTGTTCGATAACAAGCTATGCGATAACAAGCTGTGCGATAATAAGCTGTGCAATAACAAGCTGTGCGATGCAACTTGGGAAGTGAATTAGTGGAAGATAGGAGTTTTCGAAACTAATCACAATCGAGGAAATTCCAATTTTCGTTTATTAAACATGAAAACGTCTTGTTAAAAATGACTTGGACGCACTTTTCCCTTTACTATAAGGATGGGGAATGCGGCTTGGTGGGGAGTTACACGCACTTATAAACCGATAACAAGTTCATTCTTGCCTATTGACTCCTAGATATTTACAAAACAACCAGATAAACTCCATATCCAACGAGACTTTTACCATTACGACAGATCTGAAATACCTGTGGGTTTATTAGCTTGTATACTTTGGTTTGCTAACAATAATCAATTACAAGTATTAAATACTCTCAAGATTTATCCACAATTATTGTCCTTGACATTCAGTTGTCATGGAATATCTACAATTTATTTCATCTCTTATTATTTTGTGTTTTTTATTTCTTGAAAACCATGAGGTGAGAAACATCGGTTTTTATACAACGATCCAAGAAATTATTGGGTTAATTGTGGTCAGCACCTCACCTAAGATTTTTCGCCTTTTGCTTTTTTCTACGCTGTGTACAAGCTCTAGATATTGCAAGAGTTTAGCCTTGTTTAGCCCCGTCGATTTACTTCTCTGACATTTGTAATATCAAAAAGGGGAAAATTCATTGAAATAGCAGATAGGATCCTAATTTTTCCCGTGGATATGGTATAACCACAGAAACGAAAGCTCTTTTTCACAAATTCCTGAATATGTTTTATATGGCATGTCAAGTACGACAAGGCTTTTCATATATGGCGGACATAACTCATTTGTATGCTTGGTTGCCACATGTTACTTTAATATGGAAGAATAGAGAGTCATAGAACCCCACAGAGGCAGCTCACACTTGATTTAATGTGCGTTTTACCTAGCTTTTGCTACTTCACCTGTTTTGCACTTGTCTCCAACTTAATCGAGGATTGTAAAGTGTTCGTCATGAATTCGTTAGAGTGACCAAGTGATCTCAACGAGGAACTTGTACCGACAATCTCTTCTAATGAAGAACTAAATGAACGTCTTGTCGAGTCTGGGTAACTTTTTCCTTAATTTGTTAGATTTCTAAGCGCCAACCAACTGAAGATTATTCCGTACAGAGCGTTCTATAGTCTGGATGACCCAATCACAATGTAAGTGTAATATGTGATGTGTGTTCTTAGCGAGTAAATGGCCAAGGGTAGAGATGATGGTGGTTTAAAATGAACCCAATACTAATTTAGAGTGTATGTTTTACAATTAGCGGCTTTTGGACATGTCAATTGTTACGATACAGAAAAATTTTGCCCTATATATCAACCCATCCCCAAATTAATCATTAAGAGGGTGATCAAGGCCAAAAATATCAAATTGTTCCTCTTCTCCTTTGTATTTCGTTTGTTCTCTAAGCAGTCACTTCGGTCATCTCTTTCCTTCGGTCTCCTCGAGATCTAACTTCTCGTGATCATCTTAATCATCATATGTAAAACACAGTAGACCAACAAATAATTTTCAATGCTTTCATCACCTGATATGTACTGTACTGTTATCACTATGCCGATGATTTTCTTTTCGTCAGAATGCTTTCAGACAACCCCATAATCACAATTGAACCGGAAGCTTTTAAACTCAGTGATGAGGAATGTAAGGGGTGCAACTTACAGATGTAAGTAAGCTCTTCGCGCAGACTGACACCTGAGCCACCCTGTTCACTTTACCAAATCGTGAAGTACACCTTACAGAAGTACTAAGTCAACTCACAAGGAATGTTATAAAGTAATAATAATGTCAGTATATCAAGATGATCATAAGTAATTCGGTCATCGGCTGCAAGTCGCCACTGACATTGTACGTCCCTCCTCAATGTTAACTTAAACCCATGCGTTAAAGGAAAGTTGAATCCAACCTACAACTTAACTGTAAAATGCAGTGGAAGGTCAAGTATCTTTGATCTCTCGGTAAATTGGAGAATAACTCCCGGTTATTATAATTTTGTCATACGAGAATTCTGTGGATTTCTCTTACGTTGTTGTAATTTATCATCAGATGTCTGATAAGTGGAATTGCTAACGGAGTTGTAAACCTCCGCTTGGGGCTTGGCCACACCTGAGGCATACAGGGGAAGGTCGAACTGCACCACGAATAGGGTTCCCCTGTTGCCAAAGTAGGCAATGGTAAAATTGATTGACACTTAAAACGGAAGTACAACCGTATCGAATAGCACAAGTGCTACTCAACAATCAACCCATCTTTGGAACAATAGAGATGTTTCCGTCTTTCGGCTTGAAGCGCATTGCAATTCACTTTAACTGCGGCTAGAAATGACGAGAACTGTTTTCAATCTAATGTTCCGTACCCTCTGTACATTATTCTTTGCAGATATTTGTTACGGACGAAACTGAAGATATTTCGCGCGGATTACTTCGTTGGTCTTGGTGGTCTGGACTTTGAACTGTACTGTATACCATTCAGAAAGACAACATTTTTTTGCCGAAGTTACACAAACAAGTTTCTTATGCCATCTTAAGAATTTAGCTCACTTTCAGCGGGAGTAACATCAAACGGATGCTGTTTACACTCACTAGATATAAATCCAGTTGCCCTCGATGATAAGTCTAACTGATATGTAGCTGACCATAAAAGCTATCAATATTATCAACGTAACTCTCAGATGGAAAATTTCTGATTTGATTACATCTTCATCATACTTAGCTAAAATATTTCTATTGGAGTCTATTTAGGTTATATTAGTGATGCTGGTAAATTGAGGCACGAGGGCAGTCATACACCTAACAAATATGGTGATTTTTTTTCTTTTATCAGGGTGTTAAAGAATCGAATCATAGGAACGTTAAAATATCGATCTCTAGTCAAGAATTGCACAATATATCTGTAAGCGCTTCGCTTAAAACACAGCGCTGGTTAAAGCAAAGACAATAAAACGTCAGTGTTCAGAATTGCATATTTCCTTCTTTCCAAAGTAAGATGCCATATTGTCTATTTTGAATCCTGAAGTTTAGACAAAAAACGCAATTAAGTTTTACCCTCTGTGTAGTGCCAGTCAGTCATTTTTATGTTTTGAGAAAGTCAGTTTTGTGGTCCTACGACATTATAACATCTTGAATGACTGATATTTTGCATTCCCAGGAATCCTGTTGATTCTGATACAGAAACTGTTAAAGTTCAAAAGCCAACTAGCAAAGAAAGTGTGGCGTTTATCTCTGCGCTTATGTCCACGGGATTTAGGAGAATACCAAGCAATCTTACAGATGACCAATACCATTCATTCTTGCCATGTCCAGTGGGAACTTTCTCTAACAGTTCATCGAAGGGAAAAGATGGATGTTCAGAATGCACCCCAGGTATCTTTATGTGTAATTGTTTGTTCTGAGGAACTAAAAGTGCCGCAGCATATGAAAGTGATCGAAACATGAACATTCTACAAAAGCCACAGACTGCCCGCTCTCGGCAGGAGAATTATTTCAACGTGCTGATAGAGCAATGAGTAAATAAGCATAATATTCCTTGTTTTCCATAAACGATCAGCTGTAGCGAAGGACGCAAACGAAACTAATAATAACGGTAAATATAAGCTGTTATAACAGCGAAAATTACAACCTTATCTAAGAAAAACCTCTTTTTCAAGCAAGCCTAGTTGGTCTGTCATGAACAGAGACACTCTCCTTTAGGAAGATATCTCTCTGGCAGACATTATACACTGGCCTCTTTTTCTTACGGTAGCTAACTAAGTTATTTCGTAGAAAAAAATCACTTTACTGTGTTGTCCCCGCTTTAGGTGGTTTTTTCTCTGATAATGTGCAAACTGCAAGAGATGTCCAACTGGTTCGTTTGTTTCCTACGATGAAGCACCAGGAACACGAGCGGAAGATTGCAAGTCTTGCCCTGAAGGTACAAAATTGTTGTGCAAACAAAAGCTCATTTCGAACAGTTCTTCAATGTCTTATTCACAGACGAGTATGATTCTAAGTCTATATCTTAAAAGATGGGACTAAATAACGTCCGCTCAGTGGCCAACAAAAACTATTAACCAGCCTTTTGTAAGTTTAAGAGGCAATTGATGACTGGGAATAAAAAAAAGCCTTCTAAATCCGGGGTAAACATTCTTTTAAAACGCTTGGATCTATGCAAAAATTTATTTTACGTATGATTTCTCGGCTTTTCCTTCAAAAGCCTTATGCAATTCATGAAATCTTTCTTTACAGGAACAGATACTGATTTCTTCGCTGGATATCGAGCCTGCAAATGTCTGAAAGGATTTTATCGTACACATATGTTCGAAAAATGCCATAAATATTTACAAGGCATGGCATGCCAAGACGATCATATTTCTTTAAAATCTGGTTATTGGTGGGAATGGCGCAATCAGACGTCGAAAGGTCGGTACCAAAAGTTTATAAAAAATCTTGCAGCTGTGTTGCCAGCACTTGGCATAGATGATGTGCAATACCCTCACCCGATCCCAACCCCTCACCAATGTCCACGGGAGGAAGCATGCAAAGGTGGTCTCGATTCTCCATGTGCCGATGGCTACGAGGGTCCACTCTGTGCAGTTTGCAGTTTAGGGTATTACAGACAACAGAAAACCTGCAAACAATGTTCTTCCAAGAAATGGATTATCGGACAGTTTTCCATCGTTGCTGTCGTCTTTCTGGCAATTGTGGGGGGCATAGTGTGGTCAACTTTAAAAGGAAATGTCAAGAAGGCCCAGGAGAGATCTTTGATAGACAAGTTCCTTTCTAAACTTAAGATCGTTATTGGGTTTTATCAGGTCACAGCTGGTGTGCTACAAGCATTTTCCTACATTGAGTGGCCAGATTCTTTGGAAGTTATCGCTGAGTATTCAGAATTACTGCAACTGAATGTTCTTCAGATGGTCCCCCTCGAATGTTTAATCAAAGGATTGCGAGTGAATGCTTTTGGAAACATGTTTACGATGATGGCTGTCAATTCTCTGGTCATTTGTGTCTCAGGTGTCGCCTACGGAGTTCGTAAAGTTGTTATTGCGAGGAATGAGAGCTTAGAGGAGGAAGAAAAATCTAGCAAACTGTCTGAAACCAAAGAGCTCGTGTACAGAAATTTGTTTTTTTTTCTGTATGTGACGTATTTGAACACGTGCACTACAACTGCCAACGTCTTACCGCTTGCCTGTCAGACGCTTTGCCGGGATGAAAAAGAAGAGTCGTGTTCAAAGTTCCTGAAAGCAGATTACAGCGTGCGATGCCACGATCAAAATTACAACGAGGTAATTCTCTTGGGATACATCTCGGCCGCTTTTGTCGTGATCCTCCCAGCTGCAACATTCATTGCACTCTGGAAGCATAGAAGAGTAATATCTGGTAAAGGAACTGCCAAACTAACTCAGGATTCTGGCTCAACCGCAAAAGTGGTAAGAGGACTACGTTTCCTATTTGAAAACTACAAACCTAGCTCGTGGTATTGGGAGTTGGTCGAAGTGTGTCGAAAATTAATCCTTACCTCCGGATTGATTCTTGTGGGACAACAGAACAGGTCCTACATTGGCTTAGCATGGGTTGTTGCCGGAATGTATGGAGTGCTCTTTTCCTCCATAAGTCCCATACAAGACGTGGTCGAGAACAGAATGATGGTAACGTCACTTTGTGTTACTATCGTCAACTTGGGTATTGGAGCCGTGAGTAGAATTCCAGCTGAGAACATTCCAAATTCAAAAGACTCCTACTCGGAGACAGCTTTCTTCAAGGCTTTGGTGATTGCCTCAAATACCTCTGTGATTGGCCTTCTTGTTGGTAAGAAAATGCCGTTCCTTCGAATAAGTTTTTCCTCTTGCAGAAAATCTTCTTTGAAATATATATATATTCTATTTCGCTCATTGACCATTTTGCCACATCAAAACTAATTATGCTTTCTCGTTTGCCCTTAGTTCCGTACCTAGTGCACCTGTATCATTATTTCAAGGAGTGGTGCCAGAACCCAAAGGTGTCGTTTTCTTGTTGCCTGGAAGTTTTTCTCCCCCTGACCAACATGCAGGGAGATGTCAGCGCTATGGATGAGACGAAGGTATTTGAGAATGAGACGGACGCAGGGCAAGTCGATGTGTCCAATGTACAGCTCAGTATTCGTAAAAATGAAAATTTGGATATCAACAAAGAGAGAGTGGGTGAGGATGTTCGCAACGAGATGAACGATCAGAATGATTTCAAAGAAGTTGCTGTGTTCAAGAACACGAAACATCACCAGGAGACACAGACGGAACCAATTTTTTACAAGTGAGTTATGACACTCAAAAGAAACGAGGCGCTCTAATAACTTTTTCTAAGTAAGATAAGTCAAGATTAATAAGCTTTCGTACAGAGTCCGGAATATATATGAGAAATATTGCAAACTATTAGCTGGAAATGTTTACCAGAAAATTATACTTTGATTCCATGGGTAAAAAAGAAACGCAGAACAAAATATCCTTTATTTTTTATGCAAAATTGAAGTAAACTTAAGAAATTTTAAAATTGTAGTCTGTGACGATAAATTTTTCGTCCTATCTGGACCTTTGCGGGGAACGCAACAATAACGGGGGAAAATAGCTCGGTAAAGACCACTCGGCTGCGAGGACGATTTCCTGGTACAAGGAGATCTGCTTCGAGCGAGCTTTTACGGACGTCAAGGATAAGACAGCGTTTTGGTTCCACCATAGACTATATTACCAGGTCAGGCCAACAGCTGACATGACCGCTAGCGTACTCATCGTCGTAATCAATGTAATCGGCAGGCAGTCGTCTATGTAATTGAAAAAGCTTTTCAATATACTTCTATTGTTCTCTAAATTTATAATGCTTGAATAAGGTTACAAAAAAGCGGAAAATGTCTCCTCGAAGTTAAGCGATTCTATTGAAATATTCCATCTGTTCGGAAAGAAATTCAAAACTAAGGAACGGACTTAATAGACTCTAGGCCCTCTATACACCTATCTTAATTGCTTTAGAGCAGCTTAGGAAATGAAAGTGAGAAGTAATAATAATTTCTGTTTATCTATGCGATGTTGGTGTTAAGTTCGGAAAAGCGGCAACCTGAGAAATTATCCTATTAAAGGAAAGCGAACTTACGAGCGCAAACTCATCTGCAGACTTCCATGAGAACCACTTTTCCAGAAAGATTATCAACACTTACATTTGTATTTCCAGGGAAAGCAGTGACACTGATGCTTACATGCAATTTTAACAGAAATGGTCATCAAAGTCCGACGTACAGGTGTATAATTAAAATCAGAGTAACAAGCAAAATCTAATAGTTGACAATTCAAAAAAACTACTGAGGTTTTTCTATATATTTTGAAATACTAGAGCGAAAGAACCAGAATAAATTGAAAATGGCTAATATGAAACTTTTATGCGTAAATATGTTCCGAACAACCACACGGATTTCCCTTAACAAATCATAGGTACCTTTCATCCTGTTACGGGTCATCTCCAGTGGCGAGCAGAAAGGATTTTTTGGCGCCGTAAACTAAACATTGATAGTTGGTTGGTCAGTAGCACGGTTCTTCTCGTTTCATTAGAAAAAATGCAAAGGGAATAAATTTCGCGTATGATAATCATGTGATAATCAAGGTAACGCTTGCATTCTAAGCATCATTTCAGCAGAGATCGAAATGAAAATAAATTGGTATTTGTTTCAAGGAAAGTAGAAGGGAGTCCATGGACAGAATTTCCTATTTATGTAATGTGATATAAAATTATTCCAATTGTGAAAGCTGTTATTGCAATTGTTCTTCACCTAATCAAAGGCAAGAATTTATTAGGTTATTTTAAGAAGAATCTTTGTGGCCTTTTTCCTCCTCCTCCTAGCCTACATTCTCATTAATTTCATTTGTTGTTATCGTCTTTCAGGTCTCATCAGTTTAAGTCAGAGTGAACTCTAAGTTGGAGATCAGATGAAGTAGAGTAGCCACACAAGGAAAGGAGACGAATTACTTATTGTAGCGATGAGACGCCTTGCTTCAAGGATACTTATACTAACTTACGCAAAATAATTTTTTGTTAATATATGCAATGCGATAGATATCGATTCTTCAAAATGAAGAGTAAATAATCAACGAGCTGTAACCCTGTACGACAATCTGCTAGTTGCAACGGTTAACTGCATTGCGCTATTCAAATTTCACAACATAGAGGTTGGAGTCCTGTTGCGTTTGAAACTTATCACATTGTAATGAACTTCGAAAAAAAAGGAACTTGATTACGTAATTGCCTTTAAAGTACATAGAGTTCTATTTTGTTTCATTGTCAAGTTTACGCCCCTATTTTCAGATAGAATCGTTCAAAGTTTGCATTACTTACGTACGTAGCAGGCCATTCCTGTCTAAACCAGTTTACAATTGTACACGTAAATTATACTCTTGTTATAGAGCGCCCCTTAAGATTCAGAAGAGTCGGAGTTAAGAGATCAGCGGAGTTAGATCGTAGTTTTGACAGAAGTTTCACTTGTCTGAGTTACGTAACGGCAGAGTTTCTCTCAGCCCTCAAAGACAGGATCAGACTTTTCACCGCATGTGTACAATATTCAAACGAGTTGACGATCACATTAAACGCTGGATGGTCAACTTGTGTTGTTGTGGTTGACACTTCCCAAACTCCAGTCCACAACACTCAGTGTCCGCTGCTCTGGGTACGCAACACATAGTAGACAACTTGGGATTTAACTTGTGTTATCTTATGAAGGAATGGAATAAACCCACACTTAGTGTTTGGCAGAGCTTTTATTAGGGTACGTCATGGGTTGGATAGCTAGGCACTTGTATGTGGTTGATTCAGTTAAGGTGTTATGAAATCACTACTCCAGTTCATCATCGGGGTAGGCAAAAGAATTTGAAGCAATATTTGATTTGAAAAGGTTTTAAAGATATTACACTATTCAAGAATTTCATAACATGCGCTCGAATTATTTTGGAACATCATGACATGGAACATATAATTTTGCAAGGAATATAACATAATAACATATAATTTCAAGGAATCCTAGATGGTTTAAATATGCGTTTTCAAAACAAGGTTTTTCAAAATGTAAAGCACACGAGATATAGCAAAAGTGTGGTTAAAAGAGGATCAAAATAAAGGCTGCATAATCCTCTGTTCCGCATAAATAACGAGAAAGACATACATTATCATAACAAGTTTGGGCGATACTTAATTTTAACACTACAGGAAATCTGAAGGGTTATTTTTTAGTAAAAATGGAAAGTCGGGAATCGTACACAGACAAGCAGAATTTTATACGGTAAAATCATCTGCACACACTCCGAGGGTAACTAAAAGACAAAAAAAAAAAAAAGGGCGAATTTTCTGTCGTTTGACTTTATTCCGAAACATAATGAACTGAGGTTCGTCAAAGGATAATAACACTAGACAGGCTTTAAGAGACTACTTTGAATGAGTATTTCAATATGTTACGATTCAAATGTCGAAAGATTTGACTTAATTGAACTAATTTTCTTGAATTGTTGAGTCTATTAATTTACGGAAGATAATAGCTATCGAGCAAAATGCAAACAACAAATATGACAAAAGCAGTTCTAGCCATTCTGGGTTTGATCATGAAAAGACCTTGGAGTGAATTATTCATTAGGAAGGGTTGTTTTAACCTTGGCGTCAATTAGAATTAGCTTTTTGTTTCAAATATTTAAGAGAATGGCGAATTAGCCGAAACTTTTCCTCGACCTTGTCTTAGTCTAATGTAAAAGCAATAGTCTGTTGGAGTCTTCTGAGAAGCAAGCATAATTCTGGATCGATTTAATTTTGTTTATTTTCAAGCGTAATGCTTAATTATACGTCCTATCGCCTCTCATGGAGCCGTCAAGTCTAATGAAGGTCAGTATTTTAAATTCCTACTGCTGCGAGTAATCGCTTACAAAATAGTTTATACAGCTCCCTACTGCTTAAATTGGAGGGCCAATTCACCTGCAATCTTTGGATTTTGTTCTGCTCACCAAAGTTCGTTGAACAGTATTTTACTCATTTTAATAAAAATATGTTAAACAAAAACTATGATCCTTGAGCTATTTTAAAAAAGTTTCAAGGGAGTTCATTGCGTTACAATTTCAATGGGAGGGAGCTAAAAGGAAAAATCATTGTTAAACATTCATAGCTTATGTGAAGTAACACGGTTGAATAACAAGATGTTAGGACCCCTCTTGGTTCGGATAAAAAGGTGTAAATTACAATAATAAAGAACGATATCAGCTTCGCTCGTAAATACCACACAATGAAAAAGATAGCCAAAAGGCAAAAGTTCTTAAAATACTGAAAGGCAAAAATTTACAGTGCTCTGTAAAGGTAATCATTTTCACCCGCCCTTCAGTTGAAAAAAAGGGGATGAAATTGTGCCCGAGAGCTGTAGCACACAATACATGTCCTGGAGGGGCTAACTGTTTGAGCAGGAAAAGAAAGGAATAGATTTTTCTTGCTATTTTATCAATGAATTACCAAAGGGTCTCGCGTTTCTCAATTCCATCGATATGTTTCACAAGTGAAGACTACGTTGTCGTCATGGAAACTGAGTGCTAAAGTTAAAGATTTAGGTGTTTACTGAAGTGTAGTGGAAATTTCTTATTTATGACAAGAAAAAAGGTATTACGCAGAAAGTCAAAATCAGCCAATGAAAAGGATCGATCTAAATAAGGAATGTTGCAAGTATTTAGGGTTTTCATTTAACTCACTGTAGGCCATGTTTGGTTTTTTTCGCAAGGTAATATCATGTCAATACTTGTCTTCAAAGAAGCGCCGGGAGAATTAACTGAATCTTGTACGTAATAACAAGGTAAGCTAAAAACCACCGCCAGTTTGGCAATTTTTAGTCAAGTTACGACTCCAGATTGGGAGAACTTCAAGGGGTCAGGTCAGTCCTACAAACACAAGGTAAACTACTCTTAAGAGTTCTTTAGGAGCCGAATAGCGATCAGCTTGAGTTAAGAGATTCTTTCCATCATTCTTTTTATATGAATATGGTTAACGATATATTCCAAGTAACTATGAGTAAGAATTGGCCAGCCATTAAATTTCTTAGAACTAAGAATAATTCATGAGTAGCAAGTCCAATTTTGGGTCAAGGTCAGACTATTGTCATGATCTTTTTCGCCAAACTTGAAATGATTCACAGCAGATGTTTGGATCAGAAATCTAGAGTGTTGCGAGTTCTAGTTTTGGACTCATATTCATCTGTTTAGTATAATTAAATGCAAAAGGCCCTTGTTCCGCAATTAGATGGTTTCGTAACGTTTTTTAACGTCAAAACAATCTTTACATTGACACTCTGAATGCTAATCTTGCTTTTCAACTGTGTGCGTTCTTTCCTAATCATATTTTATGCCGATTTTTATTCTGATGTTAGTTTTTGCAGGGGTTGCTTAGTAAACAAGCAGATTTAGCTAGACCAGATGGCTTTCCGACTAGTTGCTATCGCTACACTATTCGCGGTGTGTTTGTCATTCCATACTACTGCTTCTAAGCAATGTGGAAGTTACACCTACTCCATCTTCCAAAAGATGTTGAGGGGTCACACATTTCGGACGATCCAGGTTCGCGCGGGCTCCGTTGATTGTATAGAGGCATGCAATTCTGACGTCAGATGTCAAAGCCTTAACTTCGTCATGTTTGGAGACTTGTGTGAGTTAAACAACAGGACTAAAGAAGCCAGACCGGAAGACTTCGTTGAAAATATGAACAGATATTACATGATGAAATCAAGCGAAAGAGGTGTTGAAAACTATAAATGTTACAATGTAAAGAAATGATTGCTGCTTTGTATATTAACCATGTTTAAATGTATTCCTTATCCGATGATTGTCTCACGAGAGAAAGTGTATCAATTACAAATTGGTGAATCTCGGAGGAGGAATGATTTTTTCTTCAATTTATTATTTTTTCTAGTTTAGGCGACGTTTTATCAAGCATTCTTTGTAAACAAAACAGAAAAGAAATTATTAATCTCTACGAAAATGATAAAAAGACCCATGACTTATAGCGCTGATTATGTCGCTTCTTTTTAGTGCCTCTCGGATCCATTTCAGAGCTCCCAGCTGATTCTTGTCGAGAGATAAAGGCGAGTGAAGGAGATAAGGCTGTAAATGGCAGGTACTGGCTGACTACCCCTGGATCACATCATGTCTCTCTTTCTTACTGCCTCATGAAAACCGGTAAGGGAAAAGTTTACCGATGTTACCGTTTCATTTTTGAAAATTATTTTTGTTGCTGAAAGGCGTGAATAAAAATTATAATAAGAGAGTTGGCGAACAAGCTGCTGACTAGACTTATATTTAGATCGTCTTCCAACGCCATGTATGGTTGATTTTGATATAACCCTGCTCACAGTTGATGTAGGTTGTGTTGATGTAAATCCAAATGAGGAAGGTACAGTCCATGTTGTAAATGCTGATCATGGCGTCTGGCCCGACAGTGGCTTCTGTCGCGTTATTTTTGAACAAGACATCAAAGCAGTCGGTCCGTACGTACTGGACATCGAGCTGTTAAATACGGTCAGACCAGGTATTGTGTATTGGGGACATCCTGGAGTGATCTACAACGTTGTTGACGAAGACAACTTTGACTTTGTTTATTTCAGGTAAGTTACCTTTGAGGTTTACGTACTCGTTCAACTAAGAGCCCCTCAGCGTTTAATGATGCCCTTTTTACATGTGTAAACATGGTAGCATTACGTTATTATCTTAAAACATAAAATCTCATCACCAGCATCGCTTAAGTGATTAACGATCCACACGCGATTTCATCGTCAAGGATTATGACTCATTTATTGCATGGCTGGTATTTGACTGGGATATGACGGACGCTTAATTCTGGGGTATTTCTCCTCGGTGATTTACACGGAACCGTATTGATTCACGGATACAAAAAAGAAGACAAAAGATCAATAAAGGACGGCGGCTTTTTTTTCAATTTCTGAAAATTCGGGGGAAAGAAGCCGACGAGGGCTGATGAACACCATAAGTGTTAATTATATTACCTGCAGTTTACATTTCGGTGAACAGCGAAGTTACAGTATCGAAGTACCCACAGGGTACATTGTATCGGCAAGGACGAGGGAAACAGCCAAAAATGAATTTAAAAAAAAGTTAAACTCTGAAGAAGGAAACTGTCAGTAACATGATAAATATGAAATGTAATTTTTCGTCGATAAATAAGAGAAGGTGAAGTTCGGCTGGGAATCTTAGTCATCGATTTGTTTATAAACCTATCAAATACTACATGTTCAGTTACTTAAAGATAAATCATTACGCTGATGTGGCCTGTCCGGTACTGAACAAGTGAGACTACTGCAGCAAGTAAGGTTATGGGCATAGGTGATGGAGCCGTAAGCAAGTTCGTTTAGAGAAACTTTCAAAGCATCATGGGTGAAAACAAGTCACAAAAATTGTGCAACAAATTCTCAACAAAGTCACTTTGTAG